GACATCGACTACGCTCTTCCAATTGTGCTGCTGTTCTCACTTTAGATGAAGGCTTGCAGAACAAAATAGTTTCTCATTTAACTGTTAGTATACACGTTGCCCTATGACAATGGTTAACAACCTCACAACACATCAACACTATCCTTACTCAACCTTGGGTTCCCTATCACCAGCTTTCCTGTTCCCCCCTGCCTTCTAGTCCCTGTATGACCTTTTTTAATGAACATTTTTAGAGCGGTTTTAGACTTAACGAAAAATTGTGCAGAAAGTACGAAGAGTTCCTCTCTGCATACTGTTTCTCCTATTAACATCTTACGTTAGTGTGGTACACTTGTTACAGTGGATGAACCGGTACTGATAAATTATTATTAGCTGAAGTCCATAGTTTAAGGACTCAGGTGCACCTGACCCAAGGCATGGAGTTTCCAGTCGCCTCATATGCATGTGAAAGGTGGACAATGAATAAAGAAGACCGAAGAAGAGCTGATGCCTTTGAATTATGGTGTTGGTGAAGAATATTGAATATACCATGGATTGCCAGAAGAACAAACAAATCTGTCTTAAAAGAAGTACAGCCAGAATGCTCCTTAGAAGCAAGGATAGTGAGACTTCATCTCTTTTACTTTGGACATATTATCAGGAGGGACCAGTCCCTGGAGAAGGACATCATGCTTGGTAAGGTAGAGGGTCAATGAAAAAGAGGAAGACCTTCAACTAGATGGATTGGCAGTGTGGCTGCAATAATGAGCTCAAGCTTAACAACAATTGTGAGGATGGCTCAGACCGGGCAGAGTTTCTTTCTGTTGTACACAGGGTTGCTATGAGTCAGAACCAACTCGCCAGCACCAAACAACAACAACAGCAATAGTTTACATCAGGGTTCACTCTTTGTGTTGTACAGTCTTATGGATTTTAACAAATGCATGATGTTATGTATTCACCATTACAGGATCCTACAGAATAGTTTCCCTGCCCTAAAAATGCCCTGGGCTCCACCTTTTCATCCCCCTTCCCCCATCTCCTTAGCCCCAGACAACTGCTGACCTTTTTACTATTTCTATAGTTTTACTTTTCCAGAATGTCATATAGTTGAAATCATATAGTATGCAGCCTTTTTCAGATTGACTTTTTCATTTATCAGTATGCATTTAAGTTTTCTTTCTTTTTTAAGGTTTCTTGCCCAGGGGTGTTCCTGCCCAGCAAGCAAGATGTGTACCTCGGAGTCTACTTCCTGAATCAGTACCAGGAGACAGACTGCTTCCCCCCTGTGTTCCCTATTATGATCCATCGGAACATGAGATTTGAAAAGGTGATCTTGACTCTTTTATTGGTGCTGCTGTGACAGGACACAGCTCTTATAAAGTTGTTATTTTGTAAATTTCCTCGTAAAAAAATTTCCCCAAGGCACTTTTAGCGTGGTGCGAAACCACAGTCTCCCTGTTGGAGGACTCGCTTTTGTATCTGAGGTCTGAGCCAAGTTCTGTCAACCTAGTGCTAAATACGCCGGTGGATGTTTTCTATTCTTGGAACTCCCAAGACATTTTCTAACCGGGGCAGAGTGCGTTTCTGAGCGTTTTTGGAGGCGTTAAAGGCAGCTAAATAACATTTTTGAGTTTATCAGTAAGCTAGCAGACCTTAGAAACAAACCTTTTTACACCTGGGTGGGGCAGGGAGGAACCTATTACCAAATCAGTTATTATAAATCTTAAAACTGAAATCCAGTAACAAAACAAGACCTTCAGATGTCCTGACTTTCCTTAGGTCATACCTGGTTTATTTAGCTACAGAATAAAGGCTAGATTTCATTCCAATGAATACAGTCATGATATAAATAGCCAAGACATTACCAATCCTCTTCCCTCTTCAATATTTGATAGAACACTCGTTCATTGCTATGCAATCACCGACAATCCCTCTGGGTTTTTGTTTTGGAATTTGGAGATGGAATCAATTTTAACCTTGATAAGTCTATTGATTTTTCCCCAAACAATATCACTGAGGTGGCGCTTTTGGGGAGGGGGGTGAGTATGGAAGGCTCCAGGGTGGAGCACATCACTTTTAAAGATCTGGAAGATGGTACCCCGAAAGTGAGCTGTTTGTTTTGACCTGAGGATGGGAATGGGGGTAGGGGTTGATTTTCTGAAGAGCTAGGGCTGTATATAATATTTTTACAAGTCACAGCCTATTAATTTAAATAAAGAGTGTACCAAACTAGTTGGATAAGAGAGGAGAGGAATCAATGGCTGTTACTTTGGAACATACAATCAGAATCCAAGAGAACCTACTTCTCCCATTTAGATGTTGGAAGTGGTGAAAGAGGGTGGTAAAAATGCAGCCTCTCTCCCTCCCACCAAGAATTTCCTTATTAGTTTTATCAGTTTTGAATTAGCTTCCATAGAAGTCTTTTGGGAAACCCTGATGGCATAGTGGTGAGGAGTTTGGCTGCTAACCAAAAGATCAGCAGTTCAAATCCACCAGGCGCTCCTTGGAAACCCTATGGGACAGTTCTACTATGAGTTGGAATTGACTGGATGGCAATGAGTTTTTTTTTTTTTTTTTGGTTTTAGAAGACTTATAACATTTTTAAATAAAAGTCCAAGGATACAAAATCATGGAAGCGTGAAGTAATATATCTATAAATGACCTTGGGGTCATCTCATCTACTTCCTTGACTTGTAGAAGAGGAGAGTAAGCTTCAGCATCACACTCTAGGGGCCATATCTGCTGTGTTGCAAGGCTGTACATTTGAGATTACTAGCCAAACATATTAGGGAACCATTTTTTATTTTAAAAAATGCAATTAAGTAAATGCAGTTGTTGCTTTATTTTAAATATTTGAAAAAGTGCCTTCTGTTGTATGAGCAGGAGTCCCTGAGTGGTACAAAGGGTGCAGCAATTGACTGCTAACTGAAAGGCTGGCGGTTCCAGCCTACCTAGAGGCAAAAGGCCTGGCTATCTGCTTCCAAAAGGTCACAGTCTTGAAAACTCTATGGAGCACTGTTGGAATTGACTTGGCAACTGCTTTTTTTGTTTGTTTTTTGTTTTTGCTGCATGAGCTGTTTGAGTTTCATATTCTAGCTTCCTTGTGGCTCCTGCTTTCTTGTGTGTTTCATTCTCTAGCTGGAAATACCTGCAGCAAGTAGCAAAAACATTTTCTTCTGCGAAAACCTTCTGTGTAATTCAGAATCCAATGATCTAAAGTGTTTGGATAAACAAGACGTTACTCATAGTAACATGTGAGCCATTGTGTTTGAGAAGTTCACGTTGATCATTTACTCCTCAAGATCACAGTTGAGAGAAATCTTTAGACACGGAAGAAGTAAAGAGATGCAATTACTGAAATGATCTAGGGCTTCCCCTCCCCCCAGAAAAGATCATCCACATTTTCATGATAAATCCAAGTCAGTAAGACAAAAATGGATTACTGGGGTGTCATGAATTGAATTGTGTCTCCCCAAAATATGTGTGAACTTGGTTAGGCCATGATTCCCAGTACTGTGTGGTTATCTTCCATTTTGTGATTGATGTAATTTTCCTATGTGTTGTAAATCCTAATCTCTGTCTGTGGTTAATGGGGCAAGATTAGATTATGTTAAAGAGGATTAGGGTGGGATGTAACACTTTTACTCAGGTCACATCCCTGATCCAGTGTAAAAGGAGTTTCCCTGGGCTGTGGTCTGTATCACCTTTTATCTTACAAGAGATAAAAAGAAAGGGAAGCAAGCAGAGTTGGGGACCTCATACCACCAAGAAAGCAGTGCCTGGAGCAGAGCGTGTCGTTTGGACCTGGGGTCCCTGCACCCGAGAAGCTCCTAGACCAGGGAAAGATTGATGACAAACACCTTCCTCCAGAGCTGACAGAGAGAAAGCCTTCCCCTGGAGCTGACACCCTAAATTCAGACTTCTAGCCTATTAGACTGTGAAAGAATAAATTTCTCTTTGTTAAAGCCATCCACTTGGGGTATTTCTATTATAGCAGCGTGAGATAACTAAGACATGGGGGTAGCCTCAATTCTTGTCCTGAAAGCAGACTTGGCTTTGGACCCAAGAGTCGAGTTTATTGTTGTGTGCTGTTGAGTCAATTCCAACTCATATGAAACCAAAAAACCAAATCTGCTGCCATTGAGTCGATTCTGACTCATAGCGAGCAACCCTATAGGACAGAGTAGAACTGCACCATAGGGTTTCCAAGGAGCAGCTGGTGGATTCGTACTGTCAGCCTTTTTGGTTAGCAGCTGAACTCTTAAACATTGTGCCACCAGGGCTCCTTCTGACTCATAAAAACCAAAAAGAAACCAAACCTGTTGTCATTGAGTTGATTTGGACTCAATGGCAATCTCATATTAGCCATGCTTAAATCTAAACACCGTTTAAAGCAGAACTTTAAAACCTGAAATCAAACGCTGCTGAAGAGTTTTTGTTTCCTAAAGGATTCTACAGTTTCAGGGCAGGAGCGTGGTATGCCTTTTATTTTAGTCATATCCTGAACCCTTTTATCTTAAGAACAAATTATGTAGGTTTGGCAATGGATAGACAGGTATCACAACGCTTTTCTTATGCTTCTTACTCAAAACTTAGGAGAGTCTCTCTCTTTCTCCACCTCTTCTTCTACCTCTATCTCTGTATCTCTCTTGTTTTTTGGGATCCTGTGGGAGTGTAGTTGCTGGTAGTTAGCTTTTCTTCTGTGCTACACATAGGATTTGTCATCAAGTTCTTTATAGCACAGCAAATTGCTTGGCAGGAGAAGTCACTCAGTCAATTAACTACATGTAATGAGTATCAGTTGTAGGCAAAATTTTATTCTAGACACTCAAATAAGACTCTTTGAGGTTGATGCCAGATGTGCTTTCACCAACAAACAGTAGGGTTAGTTCAGTCGATGAAGTTTGTAATCATGCGGTAGATTCAGCTACTTATATTTCCTTGTATTTGGTATTGTGTTCCTTCTCATTCATTTAGTCTATAGTCGCTTGTTAAACTTTTCACTTTGTACCTGTTATAGGTCCTCCTGTTGAATCCTAAAATATTATATGGCTGCCTTTTACATGTATTAATTATTTAGAAGAATATAATGTATACCTTCTATAAATACTTATTAGTAAAACTTTTAAAGTTGATTTCTCCATTTTTCTCTGCAGGTATTCGAAAATGCAATAGATCCTGGAGCTGTAGCAGACATTTTAGAAGGTAGGCATGCTCCATCAGAGACCTGGTGGTGCAGTGGTTAAGAGCTTGGCTGCTAACCAAAAGGCTGGCAGTTTGAATCCATCAGCTGCTCCTTGGAAACCCTATGGGCCAGTTCTACTCTGTCCGGTAGGGTTGCTATGAGTCGGAATCGACTTGAGGACAACGGGTTTTGGTTTAGGCACTCTCTAAATAAATAAAATAGATAGACAGACAGGCAGACAGTCTATTGTGTGTAAGTCACAGATATAAAATGCTGCTACTTTCTAAACTATGATATTTCCATATTTTATCCATTATTTATGTTCAAGAAAGTCTACATAGAATTTGAATCACGATTTTTGCTCTATTACAAACTGTTTTTCTAGGTATAGATGGGATTTGCTAGGTGGTATGACTCTATTTATTACAATTCGTAGTTTTTTTAGTATATTCATAGGTGCTTCACCTATTTATCTCTCCCCTCTCACCCCAGTCCCCTGGCAATCACTGATCTTTTCACTGTCTCTGTAGTTTTGCCTTTTCCAGAATGTCGTAGAGTTGGAATCATACAGAATGTAGCCTTTTCAGACTGGCTTCTTTCACTGAGCCACGGGGCTTTGAACTGATTCGAACTGGTTCATTCTTGACTGATGAAGTAAAACCGGAAGACACCTGAAGTTTTAAAATTTGGGTGATCCACTAACTAGACAATAGATAAGTGGTAACTTTGGTAAAGGGTGAGACAGTATACAATACTGGGGAAGTAAATGAATAATTTCTTCTGTAAGGATCAGCGCAAAGCTGGTTCCTATGATGTGGAGGTTAAAGATGTCCCAAATGTCTAAGTTTTCCAAGTTGCTGTACCTCTCCATCATCTCTAACATCAACCATACCCTCTTGCCTCAGTATTCTCCCACCTGTCTTTGGGTTCCCTAATCCCCTGCAGTGTCTCACAGAACTCACAAACCATATAAAGGAAATGCCTCATGAGGTTATGGAGGCTGGCAAGTCCAAAATTCGTGGGTCAAGCATAGACTTCTCCCTGGCTCTGAGTCTCTGCCCAAAGGCACTCAGCTTTCTCACTCTGTGGGCCGGGAAGCCTACTATGCTGTCTCCTGCAGGTCTCTCCTTCTTTGGTGGTGGTGGGCTCTCCTCTTCGCTCTGGAATTGGCTCTCTTTTAAGGCAAAAATGAACAATCCCCTTGGTAAGCCACAATTACCCTATCACACAATCACCTAGGTGGGAGTTACAAGACCATGGCTAGAAAGGCCACACACAAAAGTAATTAATCCACTGCAGGAAGTCAGCACAACTTGACCAAGGCAAAGTCACAGAAGCCTCATAGACACATCCAAACTCCTCGAGGGATCCAGTTACTGGGCTGAGGCCTGGGGATCATGGTCTTGGGGGACATCAAGCTTAATTGGCATAACAGTTTATAAAGAAAATGTTCTACATTGTACTTTGGTGAGCAGTGTCTGGGGTCTTAAAAGCTTGTGAGTGGCCGTCTAAGATAAGACTACTGGTCCCACCCCATCTGGAGCAAACCAAAGACACAAGGGAAAGATTAGTCCAAAGGACTAATGGACCACAACTACCACAGCCTCCACCAGACTGAATCCAGCACAACTAGATGATGCCCAGCTGCCACCACCGACTACTCTGACAGGGATCATAATACAGGGTCCCAGACAGAGCTGGAGAAAAATGTACAACAAAACTCATACTCACAAAAAAAGACCAGACTTAGTGGTCTGACAGAGGCTGGAGAAGCCCCAAGAGTACAGCCCCTGAAAACCCTTTTAACTCAGTACTGAAGTCACTCCTGAAGTTCATCTTTCAGCTAAAGATTAAAAAATTCTGACTCATAGTGAGCCAAAGATTAGACAGGCCTATAAAACAAACAATAACGCACGTAGTTCAACCATGTATACAAGACTAAATGGGCACACCAGCCCAGGGGCAAGGACCAGAAGGCAGGAGGGACAGAAAAGCTGGACAAATGGAAATGGGGAACCCAAGGTAGAGCAGAGGAGAGTGTTGATACATCGCAGGGTTGCCAACCAATGTCACAAAACAATACGTGTATTGATTGTTTCATGAGAAGCTAATTTGCTCTGTAAACTTTTACCTAAAGCACAATTTTTTAAAAAAAAACAAGGAATCTTATACAGAATTTAAGCAAGGTAATTACAATGATTTTCAAATCGAGTATATTAAAAAGTTTACTGTGATATAGGAAAAAATAAAATAAAATTGGGATAATCCAGAACAATAACGAGAATGGGAAAAATTACAGGTTGAAGCCCTGGAATGGGAGACTTGGAAGAGGCACAGTGAGCCGTTTCAGGAGCCTAATGCATGAGATTGGATTATTGGCAGAACTATGGAGAGCGACACACATTCAAAGCTGCGCAGTTGGCTGCTGTCTTTGAGTGGGGCAGTGCTGTTTCCAATTCTGCTCAAAATCTGAGGACAAGACAACTGGTTGCTATGCAATGCGTACACTGCCCTTGTTTTCTAAGAGGGAAATTAAGTTTCCAGCAGGGCTTTGACCTGTCATTTTTCCTGTTCTGGGTATTGTTCTGGTTCACCCAAATTTTTGAAAAATCAGGTCTGTACCTGTTTTGCTTCCTTTGCCATGACTGAACCGGGAAGAACCAGTTCTAAGCCCTGCTCAGCAGTATGCGTTTAAGGTTCTTTCATGTCTTTTCATGGCTTGATAGCTCATCTCTTTTTTTGGCTTTGAAGAACAGATGTTTATTGTCATGATTCTGGAGGCTAGAAGTTCCAGGTCATGCCATCAGCAGGGCTATGCTCTCTCTCTGTCAGTTCTAGGAGAGCCTTCCTTGTCTCAGCTTCTGGTAGCCAGGGGCATTTCTTGGCATTCCTTGCCTTGTAGACCAATCCTCACATGGTGTCTTCCTCTTGTGTGTGACTCTGTTTCCATGTCTGTCCTTCTATTTTATAAGACGCCACTCAGAAAGGATTAGGGCTAGGACCCACCCTACTCCAGTATGACTTAACTGATAACATCTTTTAAAAAAAACTTTATTGTGTTTTAGGTGAAAGTTTACAGTGCAAATTAGTTTTTTTTTTTTTTTAAATTGTACTTTAGGTGAAAGTTTACGGCTCAAGTTAGTTTGTCATACAAAAATTTATACACATACTGTTATGTGATATTAGTTGCAATCCCTATGATGTGACAGCACACTCCCCCTTTCCACCCTGGGTTTCTTGTATCCATTCAACCAGTACCTGACTCTTCCTGCCTTCTCATCCTGTGTCTGGACAGGAGCTGCCCATATGGTCTCGTGTATCTGGTTGAACTAAGAAGCACACTGTTCATAAGTATTATTTTATGTTTTATAGTCCAGTCTAATCTTTGTCTGATAGTGGGCTTCGGGAATGGTTTTAGTTGTGGGTTAACAATGTCCAGGGGCCATAGTTTGGGGGGTTCCTCCAGTCTCTGTCAGACCATTAAGTCTGGTCTTTTTATGTGAATTTGAGCTCTGCTCCACACTTTTCTCCCGCTCTGTCCAGGACTCTCTGTTGTGTTCCCTGTCAGGGCCGTCATTGGTGGTAGCTGGATACCATCTAGTTCTTCTGGTCTCCGGCTAATGGAGTCGCTGGTTTATGGGGCCCTGTTGTCTCTTGAGCTAATATTTTCTTTGTGTTTTTGGTTTTCTTCATTCTCCTTTGCTCCAAGTGGGTTGGGACCAATTGATGCATCTTAGACGGCAGCTTGCAAGCAACCTTTTAAGACCCCAGACACCACCCATCAAAGTGGGATGCAGAACATTTTCTTAATAAACTTTGTTATGCCAATTGACCTACATGTCCCCCAAAACTAGCACATTTCTTTTTATCACATAATAATAATGAATAATACCATCACCACAATCAATTACAATTTTTTTTTTAAAATAGGCTTTGTTTTTTAGAGCAGGTTTAGGTTTACAGAAAAATTGGGCAGAAAGTACAGAGAATTCCCATCTACCGTGTCCCATCTGCACAGTTTCTCCTATTATTAGCCTTTTCCATTTGTGTGGTATATTTATTACAATTGATGAACTGATATTGATACGTTATTATTAACTAAAGCTCATAGCTTATGTTAGGGTTCAAATATTCTCAGTTGTAATTGCCACCCAGGGTTATGTCGCTGTTGTTAGATGCAGTTGAGTCGGTTCCGACTCGTAGTGACCCTATGTACAACAGAATGAAACACTGCCCGCTCCTGAGCCATCCTCACAATCATTATGCTTGAGCCCATTGTTGCAGCCACTGTGTCAATCCATCTCACTGAGGTTCTTCATCTTTTCCACTGACCCTGTACTTTACCAAGCATGATGTCCTTCTCCAGGGAATGGTCCCTCCTAATAACATGTCCAAAGTATGTGAGACGAAGTGTCATCATCCTTGCTTCTAAGGGGCATTCTGGTTGTACTTCTTCAAGACAGACCTGTTCACTTTTCTGGCAGTCCATGATATGTTCCATATTCTTCGCCAACACCATAATTCAAAGCATCAATTCTTCGTTGGTCTTCTTTATTTATTGTCCAGTTTTCACATGCATATGAGGCAATGGAAAACATCTTGGCTTGGGTCAGGTGCACCTTAGGGCTCAAGGTGACATGTTTGCTTTTTAACACTTTAAAGAGGTCTTTTGCAGCAGATTTGCCCAATGCAATGTGTCCTTTGATTTCTTGACTGCTGTTTCCATAGGCATTGATGCTGGATCCAAGTAAAATGAAATCCTTGACAGCTTCAATCTTTTATCATGATGTTGCTTATTGGTCTAGCTGTGAGGATTTTTGTTTTCTTTATGTTAAGGTGTAATCCATACTGAAGGCTGTAGTCTTTGATCTTCATCAGTAAGCGCTTCAAATCCTCTTCACTTTGAGCAAGCAAGATTGCATCATCTACCTACCACAGGTTGTTCATGAGTCTTCTCCAATCCTGATGCCACATTCTTCTTCATATAGTCCAGCATCTTGGATTATTTGCTCAACATACAGATTGAATAAGTATGGTGAAAGAATGTAACTCTGAAGCACCTTTCCTAATTTAAACCATGCAGCGTCCCCTTGTTCTGTTTGAACGACTGCCTCTTGGTCTATGTACAGGTTCCACATGAGCGCAATTAAGTGTTCTGGAATTCCCATTCTTTGAAATGTTATCCATAATTTGTTATGATCCACACAGTTAAATGCCTTTGCATAGTCAATAAAATACAGGTAAACTTCTTTCTGGTATTCTCTGCTTTCAGCCAAGATCCATCTGACATCAGCAGTGATAGCCCTCATTCCAAGTCCTCTTCTGAATCTGGCTTGAATTTCTGGCAGTTGCCTATTAATATATACTGCTGCAGCTGCTTTTGAATGATCTTCAGCAAAATTTTACTTGCGTGTGATGTTAATAATACTGTTCAAAATTTCTGCATTCGGATGCATCACCTTTCTTTGGAATAGTCATAAATATGGATCTCTTCCAGTCAGTTGGCCAGGTAGCTGTCTTCTAAACTTCTTGGCATAGACGAGTGAGCACTTCCAGTGCTGCATCCGTTTGTTGAAACATCTCAGCTGGTATTCTGTCAGTTCCTGGAGCCTTGTTTTTTGCCAGTAGCTTCATTGCAGCTTGGACTTCTTCCTTTAGTACCGCTGGTTCTTGATCATATGCTATCTCCTGAAATGGTTAAACGTTGACTAGTGCTTTTTGGTATACTGCCTGCGTATTCCTTCCATCTTCTTTTGATGCTTCCTGCATTGGTCAGTATTTTCCGTGTAGAATCCTCCTATATTGCAACTCCAGGCTTGAATTTTTTCTTTATTTCTTTCAGCTTAAGAAATGCTGAGCGTGTTCTTTCCTTTTGTTTTTCTAACTCCAGGTCTTGGCACATGTCATTATAGTACTTTACTTTGTCTTCTTGAGCCACCCTTTGAAATCTTCTGTTCAGCTCTCTTCCTTCATCATTTCTTCCATTAGCTTTACCCACTCTATGTTCAAGAGTAAGTCTCAGAGTCTCTTCTGACATCCATTTTGGTCTTTTCTTTCTTTCCTGTCTTTTTAATGACCTCTTGCTTTCTTCATATATGATGTCCTTGGTGTCACTCCACAACTTGTCTGGTCCTTGGTCATTAGTGTTCAGAGCATCATATCTATTCTTGAGATGATCTATAAATTCATATATGATGTACTCAGTGTCATACTTTGACTCTCATGGACTTGTTCTAATTTTCTTCCGTTTCAACTTGAATTGACATCTGAGCTATTGATGGTCTATTCTGCAATTGGTGCCTGACCTTATCCAGTATTATTTTGAGTGCCTTCCAACCTGAGGTGTTCTGACTGATGATATTGAGCTTCTCCATAGTCTCTTTTCACAGATTTGGTCGATTTGTTTCCTGTGTATTCCATCTGGTGAGGTCCACATGTATAGGTGCTGTTTATGTTGCTGAAAAAAGGTACTTGCAATGAAGAAGTCGTTGGTCTTGCAAAATTCTGTCATGCAATCTCCAGCATCCTTTCTATCACCAAGGCCATATTTTCCAACTACCAATCCTTCTTTGTTTCCAAGTTTTGTATTCCAATCACCAGTAATTACCAGTGCATCCTGATTGCCTGCTTGATCAATTTCAGACTGCAGAAGTTGGTAAAAATCTTCAGTATCTTCATCTTTTGCCTTAGTGGTTGGTGTGTAAATTTGAACAACAGTTTTATTAACTTGTCTTCCTTGTAGGTGTATGGATAGCATCCTATCACTGACAGCGTTGTACTTCCGGATAGATCTTGAAAAGTTCTTTTTGACGATGGATGCAATGCCATTCCTCTTCAATTCATCATTCCCAGCATAGTAGACCATATAATTTTCCAATTCAAAATGGCCAGTACCAGTCCATGTCAGCTCACTAATGCCTAGGATGTAGATCTTTATGTGTTCCATTTCATTTCTGACGACTTCCAATTTTCCTAGATTCATACTTTGTACATTGTATGTTCCTATTATTAATGGATGTTTGCAGCTGTTTCTTCTCATTTTGAGTTGTGCCACATCAGCAAATGAAGGGCCTGAAAGCTTGACTCCAACCACATCATTCAGGTTGACTCTACTTTGAGAAGCAGCTCTTATCCAGTATTATTCTGAGTGCCTTCCAACCTGAGGGGCACTATATCAGACGATGTTCCGCTGCTATTCATGAAGTTTTCTTCCTAGTCTGTTTTAGTCTGGAAGCTCAACTGAAGCCTGTCCACCATGGGTGATCCTGCTAGTATTTGAAACACCAGTGGCGTAGCTTCCACCAACACAACAACACACGAGCCACTACAGTACGACAAACTGACAGCCACGTGGGGCCCAGGGTTATGCCGAGGATTAAATGAGCTGAGCCACACAAAATGCTTAGCATGGAGGTTAGCACATAAAGGGGCTACATAAATGCCAAATGAAAAAGCCAAACCAGTTGTCACTGAGTCGATTCTAATTCATGAGGACCCCATGTGTGCAGAACAGAACTGCGCTCTATATGGTTTTCAAGGCTGTAAACTTTCAGAAGCAGATTGCCAGGTCTTTTTTCCGAGGAGCCTCTGGTGAGCTCGAACCACCAACCTTCTGGTTAGTAGTTGAGCTTTTAACCATCTGTGCCACTCAGGGACTCTAAACAAGTTGCTGTCTAGAAATACTTGAGTCGTCGTTGGTATGGCACTTATTATTAATAATAATAATTATTGTTATTAATAAACAACGTAAATGGGACGGAAGTTTTAAATTTAACAATTAATGAAAAATTGTGGCAATCTTCTAAAGTATTAAAATCTCATTTTTTTTCTCTTCAGGCTTCTTAACCAGGTTTGAGTTAATACAACTAGTACCTCCAGGTAATGTGCATGTAAATGCATTTCTTACTTAGCTTACTTTAATTTAAAAAGGATTTTAGCATAAAAAAATGGAAACTAGTATTTAAAAGTTGTGTGTTAGGTAACACACATCTTTATTATTATTATTTTGCCAGTCTATTGAATTTTGTCTACTTTCACAAGACTAACTTTATGTGCTTGGGGCGGTGTGCATAACTTAAATGGGCTTTTGGCACACATTTTTTTTTTTTTTAAACAAATTTATCTAGTTCTTATCAAATACAATTTTCAGTCGTGGCTCATCTTCTTTCGAGTTTCAGGCTTTTGGCTATATTCTAATTTGTGGTCTGTGTGTGTGTGCGTGTGTGTATGTATGTAAAACCCTAACCCATCCTCTGTCAGATTCTAGAACAGGCTTGGCAAACTGCAACCCCCAGACCAAATCCAGCCCGTAGTTGGCTCAGAAGCTTAAAAACAACTTCTACTGTGTTTTAAATTGAGTTATAACTCACATACCATAAGATTCACCATTTTAAAGTGTGCAATTCATTGATTTTTAGTATCTGCACAAGGTTGTACAACCATCACCACTATCTAGTTAGAAACAATATTCATCATTCCAAAAAGAAAACCCCACACCCGTTAGCCGCCACTCCCCATTCCCTCCCTCCGCCGAGCCCTTGGAAACCACTCATCTCCTTTCTGTCTCTACGGATTTGCCTATTCTGAACTTTTCATAGAAATGGGTTATACGATATGTGGCCTTTTATGTCTGGCTTTTTTCACTTAGCAGAATGTTTTCAAGGTTCATCCATGTTGTAGCATGCATCAATACATCATTCCTTTTTAGGGCTGAGCAACATTTCATTGTATGAGTGGACCGTATTTTGTTTACTCATTCATCAGTTGATAGATATTTGGGATACATATTCTATTCTTTGGCTATTAGGAATAATGCTGATCTGAAAATTTGTGTACAAGTTGTGTGAATATATGCTTTTGAATCTCTTGGGTCTATACCTAGGAGTGGAATCGCTGGGTTATATGGTAACTCTGTATTTAGCTTTTTGAGAAAGTGCCAAGCTTTTTTTTTTTTTTTTGGTGTTCACATTTTTAAATCGTTGGGAAAAAATAAAAAGAAGACTGTTTAGTGACACATGACAATTATATGAAGTTCAAATTTCATCGTCCATAAATAAATTTTATTGGAACAAAACCATATTCACTCAAGTATTGTCTGTGGATGCCTTTTCTTTTGTAGATGTGATCATATGGTCTTCAAAGCCTGAAATATTTACTACCTGGCTCTTTACAGAAAAAGTTTGTGACTCCTGCGATAGAACATGGGACTTTAGGGTGGAACTGTTCTGTGGTTTTTTACTTGGCGGATGTCTTGAGTGGCGCAAGACCTGAGCTGGTGAGACAGAGCAGGAATTTCCCACCTGGTGGCACCGATTCTTATAGATAATCTCCAGTGTGGTTGATTATAGGGTGTTTTTAGAGTTGTCTTCACGTGACAGAGAGAGAAATAGTCATTTTCATGCGAGAGAGAAATGATAGAATGAATAAATCTAAAACTCAGAAACATTTCCTTTCTTTGATTCTCCTCTTATCTTTGTTGTTATGTTGTCTGTTGATGGACATTTAGGTTGTTTCCACCTTTTGGCTGTTGCAAAGAATGTGGAGGCTATTTATAGGTTCATAGCCCCTTCCTGCTGTGGTTATCCCTGAAGCAGGTCAAGGGCCCCAGTGGAGTAGAGTGGACCCAAGAGTCTATAGTTCTTTCTTTTCTTTTAAATAATATTTTATTGTGTTTTCGGTGAAAGTTTACACAGCAAATCATTGGTTCCCATTTAATAATTTCTAAACAAATTGTTCAGTGACACTGGTTACATTTTTTTTTTTTTTTTACAATATGTCAACATTCTCACTAATTCCATTCTGGTTCTTCCGTTTCCAGTAATCTAGTTTCCCTGCCCCTTTATTTTCTCATTTTTGCTTAAGAGTAACTGTTGACCATTTGGTCTCATATAGATGATTTTTGAAAGGAGCGCAGTACTCACAGCGAGTCTTCTTTATTTTGTGAGCCAATCTGTTATTTAGCTAAAAGGTGACCTCAAGGCATAGTTTTGGTTCAAAGTTTAAAGAATATCTCAGGGCAATAGTCTTGCCTCTTGTCTCAACCAGTCCAGTAAGTCTGGACTTTTTCAGAATCTGAGTTCTGTTCCACATTTTTCACCTGTTCTGTCAGGATCCATGTATTGTGTCGTTCTTTCTTCTGCCTCTCGTTTCTTTGGCAGAGGCAGCCCCTGAAAACAGACAAGAATCCCATCCGTCTCAGCGGGTCTAGGGATAGACGCTCCCGGATATGTCACTACTTTCCTCCACAGGCAGAACAGAGAGAAGACCTGACCCGCCTCCTACCTGCTTTTCGGAAAATCACACCGAAGTGTTTTTCAGCCTAAAAGTGACGAGCTAAAATCAAGGCATTGAGTTCTTTCCATAAGGTTTTTTTTTTTTTTCTTTCCTTATTTGACCCAATTCTATGTTCAGGCATGTATCATTGTATTTTAGTATGCTAGTAAAATAGAAGCATGTCCATTTTGGTCTTATTTCATTGTACATGAAAAATTTAGAAATTATCCAATACCTAAATATTCTAAAACTGTCACCTCTCCTCTCTGTCAGGTTCTAGAGCAGGGTTCACTGTAAAAATTTCAGCTAATGCAAAAGTATGCAGAATAAGGCCTCATTTATCAACAACCCTCAACAGACCATCACTAGTAACAATTTTTTGTGTATCTTTTTAGACCTTTTAAAATACATTTAGTATATATAAGTATAGGGTCACTATGAGTCGGAATCCACTTGAGTGTAATGGGTTTGGAATTTGATTTTAGAATATATATGTATGTGTGTATGTATATACATTTATATGTTGTTGTTAGTTGCTGTAGAGTTGGTTTCAACTCCTGGCAACCCCATGTACAGCAGAACAAAGATCGTTGGTATGCCGGAGTCTATTGTTGCAGCTACGGGGTATTTTGAGTGCCTTCCAACCTAGGGGGCTCATCCTGTAGCAATATAGCGGACAAAATTCTGTTTGTGATCCATACAGTTTTCATTGGCTAGTTTTCATAAATAGGTCACCAGGCCTTTCTTCCTAGTCTGCCTTAGTCTGGAAACTCCACTGAAATCTGTCCACCATGGGTGACACTGCTATTTGAAATACTGATTGCATAGCTTCTGGCATCACAGCAACATGTAAGCCACCACAGTACAACAAACAGACAGATGGTGGACATACTATATTTTTATGCAAATAATGTGCACCTTCCACATTCGTTTGCCGACTGCTCCCTCCCACTGTGAGGTATTCTCCTAAGCATACTATGTGTTATGGATTGAGTTGTGTCCGCCAAAAATGTGTGTCAACTTGACTAGGCTATGATTCCCAGTATTGTGTGATTGTCCATCATTTTATCATCTGATGTGATTTTCCTATCTGTTGTAAATCCTACCTCTATGATGTTAATGGAGCCCTGGTGGTGCAGTGGTTAAGATTCAGGCTGCTAACCAAGAGTTCAGCAGTTCGAATCCACCAGCCATTCCTTGGAAACCCTACAGGGCAGTTGTACTCTGTCCTATAGGGTTGCTATGAGTCGGTATCAGCTCAATGGCAAGGGTTTTGTTTGAGTTTTTTTTAATGATGTTAATGAGGCAGGATTAGAGGCAATTATGTTAATGAGGCAGGACTCAATCTATAAGATTAGATTGTATCTTGAGTCAATTTCTTTTGAGGCATGAAAGAGAGAAGTGAGCAGAGAGACAGGGGGACCTCATACCACAAAGAAAGTAGTGCCAGGAGCAGAGTGCGTCCTTTGGACCCGGGATCCCTGGGCTGAGAAGCTCCCAGACCAGGGGAAGATTGATGACAAGGACCTTCCCCCAGAGCTGACAGAGAAAGCTTTCTCTTGGAGCTGGCACCCTGGATTTGAACTTCCAGCCTACTGGACTATAAGAGAATAAACTTCTGTTTGTTGAAGCCATCCACTGGTGGTATTTCTGTTATAGCAGCACTAGATAGCTAAGACACTATGCTAATTTTTTTTCATAGCAACATGTAAAAAAATTGACATAGCAGTGTTTATGAAAATACCTTGCAAGGAGGGAGGGAGCAGTTGGAAAACAAGCATAGAAGGTGTGCGTTATTTGCATAAAATATGGTGTACAGTAAAACCTGCGAAAGCCGGAACCTGTATAAGATGGAAACCTGTCAGAGAAGGAAAACTCAAATATTTTCCACTAAAACCAGTGATAGAAAAGTGGTCAGAATGCACCCTATCAAACGTGGAAAATTTGTGAGACCCAGAAAAACAAGGCGGTCCGGATGAGTTCTGGCTCTGATAGGTTTCACTGTATATCTTGGACTACCACATGTTTTTCATGTGACCAGAAATTCATATGTGAGAATTTGCAAGAAGAGTTGTATGAAAATGTTGATGACTGGAGAACATTGAAGCTGGGTGCATGAATACTAGTATAACTCAGAAACTAATCAGATACAGATAGGGGCTTTATGCATACTTGTTCTCCTTTTGTCTATAATCCTTCAATTTCAGATTGTAGTTTTCATGGAATAAAATTTGAATTGCTCAATTAATTTTGCTTAGCTTTGGATGCATCACAGATTGATCCATTTCTTATTCAACATATGCTTATTGAGGGTGCACTTGGCACGCACCCTACACTGTGCCAGTCCTCCTGGTAAGATACTGGCAGTGAGACCTTGGTACTAGCTAATTAGGTAAAAAGTCTCATACGGACTGCACTGTGGGGTCCAATTGGTGCCCTGGTGGTGCGATGGTTAAGAGCTACAGCTGCTAACCAAAAGGTCAACAGTTTGAATCCACCAGCTGCTCCTTGGAAACCCTATGAGGCAGTTCTACTCTGTCCTATAGGGTCGCTATGAGTCGGAATCGCCTTGACGGCAATGGGTTTGGTTTTGGTTTTTCGGTAAG